TCAACAAGTATAAACGAGATTCAAAATAAAAAATATATCAAAATGACAATAGAAAAACTATAAAAAGGTGTTCAATAAACGTAACCTTAGTCAATGTATCAGTATTTTGTAAACAAAAGTAAATCAACAAAATTAACAGAAAAATATAAGATTCTTTATACTGAATTAAATTAAATAGAGAATTTAAATGTAGCTGTCTAAGTATACAGTTGAAATATCGAAACACCGTGTCACCGGAATGTCAAGTGCAGCCCGAACACGTGGTGGAATATAACTTATCTATTTTTTTTAATTTTCATTGTAAAAGAATACTTTATTGAAAAGTTAAATTAGAAGAACGCACTGCAGTGAAGAACAAAAGCGGTAGTCCAAATTTCAAAAAAATCCTACATTTTTAATCTAAATCATTGTCTATGCTCAAATTGAACTACTTGTATACGGACAATATATAATCAACCACTCTAAAGGTTGACAAAAACTTGACTCTATACTAAAGAGAGGAAAGAGAAGTAGATAATACTGAAGACATTGGCCAAGGGACAAATTTTACTTCTAATCAGCCGCTCTTATACCACCGTTAACCAATGAAATTAATTAGTCAATTGTATTTCTTTGATCCGAAATTAGCCAATGAAAATCGCGGTATCGGACATCATAAGGAATATAGGTGCCAAAATGGATGACATACACACATTTTTGAATTTTAAAGTGAAAAATCGCGACTGTCAACTTAATAATTCAATTAGCATAAACTAAATGGTAAGTGACAAACGTCTCTCTTGGTAACATAAACACGATCTATACAAATTAAGATATTTACAAAAGTCTGCCAAAATTAATTTTACCGGTAAATGTATAAAATCTAATTTATATGTTGTAAATTTTTATACATCCATTATATTTTGCCAAAACAAGAAATAAGGTATTAAAAGACCTGTGAGTTATCAATATTTTATCATGTTCATATATTGATATGTTCTATTTTATATATGTATTTCTAATCTGATACTACTGATGTTTTTTGTTTTGCTAACATTTTCTAGTTTATGGTTTTTGAAATTAAAAGCTCATTGAATGGCTGGCGGCTCAAAAGTGTTACTATTATTGTTTATTGTCCTCATGTGAACATACATTCAAGGCTTATTAAGCCTAATTACAGATATTAAATATGTCTGCTAAGTGATTCTGTTATACAGACTGTTGAGGCCAGGATTTGCCTGCTCATTAACAAATAGTTACTTTTATAGTGTTATGTGTAGTACTTTTATAGTATATCTGAAGTATAGAGTTATATGTTTCAATTATATTGACTGGATCTTTAATATTTCATAACTCAAGACACACCTTGGATGGCGTGGGCTCATTCAGCTTTAAGTAAAACCTGTATTTCGCTTTGGCCTTTTTTGTACGCCACCTTTCTTTAGGCTGGCTTTTTATCAGGGGAGTTAAATCAGGGGCATTTAAATGTTACCCTTTGTAAGATTTTCACCCCTGTTGTTGTAAATAATTTTGATCGTCGTTTTTAATAAATGACATTTTGATTGGAATCTTTCTCCTTGCTACTAATTCGCCTCCAAAAAACCGAGCGAGGTGTGTCCTGACATAAGTGTTCATGCACTCAGATATTAAGTCGTAGGGTAGTTTCTGTATTCGGTATCCTCAGCTTTGATATACATCTATTACACTGATCACATTAGACATGAAATCTAATCTATATTATAAATTCATTTATGTCTATGTGGACAACTTCTATTTGAATTAAACAGTCAATTTGAACTGAGTGTAAATGGCATAATTATTTAATCTGTATTTTAACCAACCAATCAGATAACAGATATATTCTGAGGTAAATATTTTATCTGCGACAAGAAAGATCGCAAATTTTCTCTGGACAATTTTTGATCCCACACCCTACCCCAATAACTTGCCACCTTGTACATTTAAATATGATGTGAGTTTTGTGATTTTAATTTTCATGATTTTTGCCATTATGTTGTTAATGGCATTTTAGGATATGCTACTTTTTGTAAGTGGCCTTTTTGTGATACGCCACCTTTTTGTAAGTGGTCTTTTATTGATACGCCACCTTTTGTAAGTGTCCTTTTTTATACGCCACCTTTTTTGTAGGCTGGCTTTTTATCAGGGGAGTTAAATCAGGTGCATTAAAATGTTACCCTTTGTAAGATTATCTCCCCTGTTGTTGTAAAAAAATTTGATCGTCGTTTTTAATATATGACATTTTGATTGGAATCTTTCTCCTTGTTACTAATTCGCCTCCAAAAAACCGAGTAAGATTTGTCCTGACATAAGTGTTCATGCCTTCAGATATTAAGTCATAGGGTAGTTTCTGTATTCGGTGTCCTCAGCTTTGATATACATCTATTACGCTGATCACATTAGACATAAATATAAATAGGCAAAAACCAATCCCGCTTCATCTGTATAAATTAATCATACATAGTTTAAGTCTTGAAACATTCATAAATAAGACTGCAAAAGAGAGGCGAAAGATACCAGAGGGACATTCAAACTCATAAGTCGAAAATAAACTGACAACGCCATGCAAGTAGTTCAATCACGGAAAACAATACAACTAATTTTATCAAACAACCCAAACTTATCTTGTGATAAAACAGTCCTATTATCATTCTTACGCTACGATGTTATTTCCCATTATCAAATGACAAAAGATAAAAATCAGAAAATAGGACTGCTTTGTAATAAATGGTGCAAAATATAAACACATATACATCGAATGATTATTCATGAAATTCATGGGAAAAAACAAATAAGGGACAACAAATGTATATGTTCAAAAGGCAAAATTAGAACATCATAAAAATGTGCGATGCAGTTGTGGTGAAATCAGAGAGATTAATTTGTCATGAAGAACTTAGTTTCGATGCCATTTTAAGAGAGAGAAAACAATATGTAAAATTTAAGACAGAAAACACATGTAAAGTTTTTAGACAGAATAAACATTAATTGATATAACAAGAACGTAACAAGGTCACGTGGATGTAAGTGATTAATCACTCAAGTGTTAAGAGTTTAAACTTTATTTCACATGTTTTAAAATAACAAAAACATAAAATAAAAATAAACACAAACACAAACACAAACACGTGCTACTTAACGCGTGTATTGAGGGAAGACATGTATGTCCTTGTTACAATAATAAATGGAGAACAAGTCTATTTATATAGTCATGTACATATAATTACATTTGATAAAACAATTCATCACCTTCAAGGACTTCTCCATAAAGTCTATATATGTCCTGCCTTAAATTTGCCAGTTTAAGACGAGAATTCTCATGTTGTGTCACTTATATGGACCCGTCATGTGTCCAAAACGAATACATTTTCCCTTTAACGCAAAGTGTTCATTGCAAAAGATTATTTAGAAAGGTTTTCATCAATGAAAGTTTTGTTTACTTTTCCCTTTAATTTACGTTCATTGCTGACAGGAAACGTACAATAATTGAGATTTTGTCGTCTTTGACCTCACCATAGGGATGGGATCTGCCAATATCTCTCGTGTTTAAATTCAATTTCAAATTTGTGTTGTAAATACCAAGAATAAGGGCATCTGTATTAATAGGCTTTATAATGTCGCAGTTGACGTCAGTTGGTGCAGGAATACTATGGAATCGTAAACCGGCTTTCTTTGATTTCAGTTCCTGTTCCTCAACTCTTGCTTTGATGTTGTCTAACTTGCTTTTTGACGATTTTATTTGCTTTGATGGTTGTTAATTTCAATATCTTTCAGAATGAGTGCTGCTTTATTATGCTTAATGTAAGTAAGTGTCGCTGAATAAATTCATCAACAATCAGTCCAATTTTAAATTTGAACATTTCAATTACTTTTTCAGTGATGGAAGGAATGATGGAGTCCAAAAACTATTGATTTTTTAACCGTAGCAAGACACAACTTCCGATTACTTAAAAATAGTTTTTTTTTTCAATGGGTGATATGATCTGTTCAGAACTATTATGTTCAGAAACGATAATGCCACTGAGAGATAAACAAGGTTTACTAGTCTTGCTTCTTTTTTCAACTTGTTGCATAGATGGAGATAAGTTGGTTGGATTCTTTTAACGCTTTGTTTTGGCGTATTTTGAGAGTACCTATCTAATTTTGATTGTTGTTGTTAGTCTTTCGTTATCTGGTCAGCCATTTTGTGTGTTGTAAACTCCAATTCAAAATCACTTTCGAAAATCTTTGCAAAAGTCACTATTTGATCACTAAATATTCAATTTTACTAAAGCAACTTTACACATAATATCTATATATGGGATATAAAATCAGAAAACATCTAAAAATAACAAAATTGGAAAATATAGATTTTCTCTTTTTTTAGTCTCCCAAACTTTCGTACCTTCATGCTCAAGGACGGTTAATTCTGTTAAGGTGAACTGTTGCAAGGCACAATGTTTGTCCCTATCCATTATACTCTCATTTTCCAGTACCCTATCATTATCCTGGACGGCCCCTATTACAGGACATACCTATTGTATTTATTGTTAATGTATTCTCGTCCTGAATATGCATGAAATATTTGCCATAAGACGTCCTCTGCAACATGAATGTTTGTTCTACAATTTTATGCATTGTTTTAGTCTGGTAATGTCACTGCAGCAGTATTATTTAATGGCAACTCAAATAAATTCTTTCGACTATTCATTCAAGTAATACTGAAAAAGGTTTAAGAAATACAAGACAATTTTCAGAAGCTCAGATTACATTTACACCGTACATGCCCAATCCAACTGCATTATATGTCAAATTATGTATAGTTTGTTTAATTTATTTATATTTCATTCTGCACGTACATGTCGTGACAACATAGTACACTATAACGCTTGTTTAATTGTTTGTAAATTCTAATTTTTAATGTAATTACATCTCATTAGCAATTATAACACATCTTCTTATTTTTAAATGCCTAATGAAATGTCACTTTTATCCGGGATCATTATATTTCAAGTAAAATAAAACCCTCCTTTTCAAGACCAGTATAAATTGCTGTTGCACTTTTATGTTATTTTAGGTATCAGCGAATGGATGGCAGCTGTGGTACAATGAACGTATACTTCATCTTGTTTCTTGGATTTTTTGCTTTTATAGAGGTATTTTTAGTTATGAAAGTTGAAATTTCTTCCGTAATCGGATTCTTTGTAATTGAAATGACAGGATATAGGGTAGACGTGTACAAGATAAAAGATATCATGAAAAAAAAGATAAGGCCTGACCAAACCGGAAAAGGGAAGTTGATTTTAGGTTACGCGTTATTGGAAAATCTTAAGCAATACATAATTGTAGTTCATTATGTTTTTTTAATCAGCTTAAACGGGTAACGAATGCATTGAAAGTCCTGTTATTGAAAGACTCCAGGACTATCATGGATCACAGCCTCCATAACATAGTAATATTCGGGTTGTATGAGGGCTGTCCTAAGTTATATTCATTTACTAGTTAAAACATTTTTTTGTTTTCAACGTTAAAATAATTCATTCCATTTTCTTCGATAATTACAAATGTTATACTAATATTATGATTATATTAAAGAAAATCAACACTTTATAGATTTCGGGCGCCAAAAGCGTAAGAATACAAACAGTTTATATACTAATAATATTAATAATAATAGTAATAATAATAATATGTATAATACAATGCAGATAATGGTTGTTATATGGAAAATAAAAAGTAGAAGAAACAATAAAAGAAAAGTTATTCGTCATCAATATATGTTGTACATTGATTTATCATGTACATAGAGGAGATAACTTATAACGTTTACAGTTTTCGAATAGTATAAATTATAAGTTAATTCAAAATCTTACGCAGATTTGTCTGTTCGTAGCGTTATCGGATTGCAATTCGTCGTCACGCAGCAAATTCCTGAAAATAATCACCAACGTTGCGTGAAAAATAAAAACCAGGAGGATGAAAGATATGTATCATATTAGGAAACAGGAACATATAGTATGATGCAAAACACATAGTTCAATACATATATTGTTTTCAAAAATGTTGTTCTCTTCGAACGTGTAGCAAAATAAAAACTGATTGCACAATTAAGACCTGTCTAAAATGTTTTCATAACATTTTTGTTAGTACAAAAACATTAGTGTGAAATCACCAGAAAATATACGAAAGTTGGATATTTTACGATAAGATATTTCTTATATATATTAGAATTTGTTAATATTTTTTAAGTAAAATATTTTTTATAAAATGATATATTTTTTCACTGGGAGGTATATGAGGTATTATCTTCCACTCTCGGATTGAGTATCATGACATAGGGCTGATAATACAATTGATATGACAACAGTCATGTAATAATCAGATATTATTGAAAACTTGAATGGTAGGAGGTGTACAATACAACACGATGTTAGAAGTATAATGACAAAGAGAAAAATTTGGATTTCGTACATGCATAATTATAAATCGATCCATGCTTTAAGCCTTTTTCATAATAATCAATTGAACAACTCTTTAACACTTGTACCTAACGTTTTATGGTGGATCGTTGCTACAAAAATTCAGTTATTATTAGATGCAGGCCTATTTCATCAGAACACATTTAAAGCACAATACGTATTTTATAAGCAGCCATTGACAGATATAAAAGTAACATTTTGACACACCTGTGACTGAATGGACTGATACGTACATTTTTCGTTTTAGAAAATACAATATGGGGTTAAACATGTAGAGGTTATTAAGCTCTGACTCCTTGTCCTGATTTGGCTATATTTTGGTTTTTTTTTTTCTTTTGATCAGCTCTTCCAACATTTTTATTGGGTTTTGGATTTTTAAATATTTCGGCCGAGAGCATCACTGAAGAGACATTTATTGTCGAAATACGCATGTGGTGCAGTTTATGTTATTATTAGGACAACAATAACTTCATAGAGTTTAATGAAACTTGGATAAAAGCTTTTTAAGAGTTAACATCTGAACAAAAATTTTGAAAAGATTTGTTTTCCGTTTGTTTCTTATAATTAACATTTGCATGAGTGTTGGGTCATACGTTAGTCCTAGATACTTTCAGAGGGCTCAATCCCGTTAAAAATGTTTTGAATATCGCAACGTTTGTTCCTTTTATCAACTTGCGATTATTTGAAATGACTGTTCACTTTTATAAAGTTATATTCGGAGAAAACCATAATTTGTAACGGAAAAGAAAAAGTACCGAAACAGGAACAGCCATATACCTATGTATTTGTTTAACGCACTGGATTTTAATCAGAAAGTTCTTAAAACCTACTTAAAATTGAAATATAAAAGAGTCTTGAAAAATACTAAGAGACATTTCTCACAATCTATAAATATAAGAAGATGTGGTATGAGTGCCAATGAGATAACTCTTCATCTAAGTCACACTTTGTAAAGGTAAACCATTATAGGTCAATGTACGGCCTTCAACACGGAGTCTAAGCTCACACCGAACAGCAAGCTATAAAGGGCTCCAAAAATTACTAGTGTAAAACCATTCAAACAGGAAATCTAACTTATTTTAAGAAAAAAAGAGCGTCATCCAGCGATACATATTTCTTTTTTTTTTTATGTACGACAATTTGATGGATGCGTATTTTTCATGGTTTTGTAAAATTTGTCATCGACGGATATTTTCAACCAAAATGAAATAATTTATATGAAAGACAATAAATATTTCTAATTCGAATATAATTTTTAGTTTTGTAACAAATGTGTTTCCTATAGATGTTTTTTATAACCCTTATAACTACTCAAAATTTGCAAAAATTTTTCAAAATAAAATTTAGAACTTTTTAAAGATACTCCATTAAATTGAACACACAAAGCTGAAGTATACATTTATTGAGATACTTTTAAAAAAAATGATCATCGTGTGTAATTAATTCAGTGTCAATTTGCACTATCTCTTTTCCAGATTTTTTCATTCACGCTTCCCATTTTGTAGTATTTTATGGAACATTGTTTATTTTTCTTTTGGCAATTGGTGAAACATATTTCCTTTTTATTATTTCTTTTGCATCTTTTCTTATTTGTCTTCTTATTTTTCTGAAAACTATTACTTCAAAAAGAAAAAGAAAAAAAAAACATCTGCGAGTGCTCTCAGATTTGTACTTTGTTTCTATTTTTTTTTGTTAGAGATGTATAGTTACTCTTCCACGTCCGGTCTGTGTTTTTTTTAGTCGTGTTCTTCTTTGTATCGAGCTGATGAGTTAAGCCATGTTCAACTGATTTTAATAGTTTGCATTGTTGTGCTATAACACTACTGTCCCAGGTTAGAAGAGGGTTGAGCGCTCACAAACATGTTTAACCTCGCCACATTCTTTATTTGTCTGTCCCAAGTCAGAGCCTGTAGTTCATTGGTTGTCGTTGGGTCATGTCTGTCAAATTTGTTTTTTTCGTAAATTCTTTTGTTTTAAATTAGGCCGTAAGTTTTCTCAATTGGATTGTTTCATATATTTTTTTCATGTCGGAGCCTTTAATAGCCAACTATATGGTTTTGGTTTTTTCATTGTTGAAGGCCGTACGGTTTACCATAATTGTTTACATCCACTTCATTTATACTTTATTGGTTAGCTGTCTCATTGGCTATCATACATGTACCATATCTCCTTATTTTTATACGTATAAGTCCATTTAGTCAAAGGTGTGACAAAATGTGACTTATACCTGTCAATTTGTGCTTATGAAATATGTATTTTGCTTTGAACGTATTCTGATGAAATAAGCCTGCACCTATCTATGACTGAAATATCATGTTATAACTGAATTTGTGTCATTCTCATCATCATTAGACTCCCTAAGTCTGAACCGGCAGTAAAACCCTTGCCAGAGTGGTGCGTCCTTTTGGCTGTGCGGGAAATACAAGTACGCAGTCACGTCCCGTCAAAATGAAGACGTTAAATCCGATGCCTCTTGTAGAGAGAGAGTGCCACGTTCTCTACACGTTTATTACCATTGCAACAGTTCTTTGAGGGGTCCTTGGGTGGCGGTTACAATGCAAAATTAATGTCCCTATCCAATATACTATCATTTTCCAGTGGCACTTCAAATTTCCCAGACCTTCATCCCAGACGGCCTCTTTTTCAGGACCTACCTGTTATTATTGTCAATTTGTTCTCGTCCTAAACATACATGAAGTATTTGCCACTGCACGTTAAGAAACTAACAATCAATCCATCATCATCATTAGAAGCAGCTTCGCTATGATTATCATTTTTGTTTTTAGGTGAACTCTAAAAGAAGTAAAGGCCTAGGTAGCTGTCCTAGTTTTAACATTGCAACACCATGTGTTCTGGATTATAAATTTCATTGTTTTGTACAAAAACAATGTCCATCGGGTAAGTTTTTCGTTTTATTTATACATTTGTGTACATATTACATTACCAGAAAAGACAATTTAAACGCATTAAATGACTAGGTTCTTGTTATTGGACAGGCACAGGAATATTAAACCAGTGTTGTGACTACTTATTTAAAATTTTACCCATCTTGATCAATAAATAAAAACGTTTATAGAAAGAAGTCGATAAAAATGGGCACCCCAAAAAATCAATTAACTCAATAATATCAGTATAACAGACAAACAAAACGCGGTTATGTGACAAAACAAATTGCATACGAACAAAACAAGTAACAAAAAATTAATAAAAATGGTACCCGTCATTCAATAGCACGTTTTCTTTATGTCGTGCGGTCCACATTGTGATCAGTGGGGTATGTACTAAGTATACTTTAGAATATAGTAAAGTGCTCTCGACCAATGAAATTGTGGGATTTGGTGTTTCCTAACTGTGAAGAATGAATGTAAATCATGTTCTTAGTTAGGGATTATCCTACTGTTTATACCTATTTACAGTTCAAAACAAATATTTTCTATAAATGAATTACAACTGCCCCGAAGCACATTTATCAGATTGAAAGGATTTATGATTGAAACTGACTAAAAGCTGAATTCCGAAACAAACAAAAAAATCAAAATAAGTTTAAGTTTACTGGTGTAGTAAAATTGGTAATGGTAATGCTATTATGAGAACATTAATAACTTCAAATTACTAAAAAAATTAAACAATATCAAAGCAATGCAAAAAAAAAGAAAAAAAGGTTAAAATTATATATAACCTAAATCTTTAGCTAATAAGCTTACCAAAACTCAGATTACGGATCCGTGCTTGGTTGAAATTAGTAATTTTCAATAATTTGATAGAATAGAATTGAATAATGTTGTGTCATCTAATGTCTAAAACACAAGTTACTATTTTTCATCTAAATTATAAGAAAGTCCTAACATCACTAAAACAAATCCATAAACGAAATGCCTAAAGAGGAAGTCATGCATTACTTATGACCATTGCACTGACAATGAAACTAATTCTTGAATACAACCAATTGTTTGAGCCTTGAGCACGTTACAATATTCTAGATTTGTAAGAGAATGATGATCCCTCTCTTCATGATAAGAATTCATTAACGCTCGTACTTAATCGTTAAGAAAGGGATTATCATTCTCTTACATATACGAAGACAGTGAACAAGTATCATGTCGACATTTGATTTTTTCGGCTGGATTCTCTGTGCGATTTTAATTTTTGCGTTGATGCATGCACATTAAATTAGCCTAAATTCATTCATATAAACTTAGTTCACGTATGGAAAAGCCTTCATAAAAAACCTTTTCATACTGCCATAAATCCTTTCATTGTATTAAATGTCCGGAAAATTTTTCTCATTTTCGCTTTGCTATGAATACTTATCTAACCAACAGAAAAATCTGTATTTGATTTTCTTACTTTTTGTGTAAGATATGTGCATACATTAAAGATTTCTAATATAAGAAATACTGTATCGAATTTGTTTTCGTAATTTGCAAGCTCAAAGTCTTTACATGTATGTACTGACATAAAAGGTTTGCCGTCGTGCATTTTAATTATCGGGCCACTAGCCTTCTGTATAGTAAGATAGTCTGCCGAACTAAATTATATGCCTGGTATCTATGATACATTTCTATGATTACTTTAAAAAAAATGTTTAAAACTAAAAATAAGAACTAAATGTGGTAATTAACTACAAAATTAGTCAGATAGATGTATAGGAATTAATTTTCAAATGTGTTTTTTAGGATATCGATGTTGTTCCTATGGTTGCAACAGAAGATGTGTAGCAGTTAGAGTTAATGGAAAACACTTAGGTTTGTATGTCTAAAACAAACTTATTAGAAAACGTTAAAAAATGTATTTAATTACAGATTAAGGTTTTAAAGATTCTGTATGTTCATAACTTCGATGTACAAATTTCATCGTACGTAACGTGATATGCCATTACGTGATTACGTGCGAGATTTTCTTTTAAATATTTATTGTAAGTCCTAGATGTCTTCACAGTCTCTTGTATAGTTTTCATAGGCACAAACCTATCATTTCTTTCATATTCTTGTAATATCTAAAGAAAATGTACCCTTCTTCTTGTATACAACGACTGCCGTATAAAGAATTAAGATTGTATTTTTCAAGGACTCTCATTGAGTCACACGATACTGATCAAGTGGTTGCAAACGAGGCCTTGGGTCTTCTTATTTTCAGTTCAGAAATGTACCATCAAAATTTCTTCTAAATCGATGCACCGTTGTAAAGAGAACTCTTTAGATCAGTATTTTAACATTATTTTTTCATATTATTTGTTGAGAATGATAACGAATTTCTTCATTCTTCTCACATTATCACAACAATTTTATCATTACAAGAGTTTTCGTACTATTTGGCAACTCATGTAAAATCGTATTTCAGTTTCTATCCAAATAGAAGTTAGGTCAAATTTTCCCTAAATTTCATAACCTGTAACAACAATTCCATTATTTTGACACTTAACATATGCGAATCATATATGTGAAAATGTTCTTGGGGTATGTGACTATTTTGAATCTATATAAACATAACACATAAATTGTTGTTTTATGGCAATACATAAATAAAAAAAAAATTTCCATGCAAGACAAGGGTCGGTAGCGGAATTTTTGCTAATTCAGCCTTAGATATAGTTTCTCTTAATTAAAATTTTGATATATGATGTTTATTCACATTTTGTCATCTTGAACAACGGCAATAATTCAGGACTCGCAACAGTCCCCCTCTCAAAATAGTAACCATATCATAATCCGATTCATTGTATCATATGACATGCTTGTAATTCAGTTGTAATTGGTTTTGAAAATCAAACATCAGATGATAGATCTGTCAAAATAAATATTGGAAATTGTAAAGAGCTTTGGTAGTTTCAGTCCACAAAAAGCCACGGAGATATTCATAACTGTAGTTTTTTTAAATGCAGCAAAACTCAGACTTTTGATATAGAGCAGATAAAACATAAGTCATGATAAAGGTCTATCTTTAAGCTCTATTGAATTTATGTATTTTATACATAACATTTACCTTATTATATTTTGCAGGGTCTTGCCGTAAAAGTTCTGGTAGAAAGGGGAAAAAATGTAAAAAGGATAGCAGTTGTAAAAGACATGAAAAGTGTTGTAAAAAAAGATGCAGAAGAGTCAGAAAAAAAATTGTTCCGGTTCGTCGTCCTTTCAAAAAGTAGTTCGAATGGATTGTTTATTTTGAAACGAATATCAATTAATGGGAAACATCATTGAAAAGCATACGTCTATAAATTAATTCAAATTGTATAACCAGCAAATAACTGTTTGTCATTTGAGAAATTAAAATGATTCACTTACTTTACTAATCTAACACCTTTACCAAACCAATTGCAACTATAGTGTTCAATTACAAACACTAACAGGACCTCAATATTGACGAACTCTTGGTTGCAGCTGTGCTAGATCTCCATTCATATGTAATCCGTCTGACCATGTTATTTTCGGCGACCTGAATAATGTCAATTACCCTTTCCTTCGAAATGTGTTATCCATAGGCTCGAATTATCATGAGCCTAAATCCATCAATTGGTCTTTCAAGTCCTCCTCGAAACCTCTTTCTAAATTATAAACATCAATTTCATCAGCTGTCAAAGCCGGGCTTAAAGGTGATTGTGAAATACCTACTCCAGGGACTGCGTGAATCAGATATGGATACTTAAAAATTCTAAAGATCTTTTTGAGTACGTACAATCTAAGTCTCTTTCCTCTTGCAATAGTATTAACACATTTTACTTTTCTACCCTTCACACAAGTATTTCCCCTTCCAAAATAAAAGATAAATTGAAAGAATTGATTCTGCTTTGTTTCATAAAAATAATGGCCAACGTAGATACACGTATCTTGTCTAAGGGAGTGATAAATCGTACTTTGTAAAAAAAAACACTCTGATTAAAAAACAAAATCTCTGAAACTGATGCTTGATTTCTTGATTGACAACATATTTGTTATGTTTGGAGGATGTGTTTTTTCAACAATTAATCTGAATTCCCATGGGAACCAACTGTGCTCCTCTTCTGGCCGACTTGTTTCTTTATTCATATGAGGCTGACTGCATACAGAATATTCTTAGGAAGAATCAAAAGAAGCTAGCAGTATCATTTAAATTTGAAATTAAGGATAGAACAGATACAGTTAATAATTCCTCATATCCTGAATTACATCTAAAAATTGACAATGCGAATCGGTTGAGAAGAAAGCTTTACTACAAAAGAGATGATTTCCGCTTCCCAATTGTGAACTTTCCATTTCTATGTAGCAACATTCCAGCAGCGCCTTCATATGTAATACTAGTATATATCGCCCAATTTATACGATATTCCAGAGCTTGCGTCTTCTATCACGATTTCCCGGATAGAGGGTAGCTGCTTACAAACAAGTCACGAGTTGATTGACCATTATAGAAAATCTGTTTCACAGATGATGACGAATATGTTCCAAATGTCATAACCACAATCCTGACCTCTTTTCCTCGAATGTGACATAACGAATTAGACTAAACACCGGGTTTGTACTTTCATGAGCAACACGGCGGGTGCCGCATGTGAAGCAGGATCTGCTTACACTTCCGGAGAACTTGAGATCACCCGCGGTTTTTGGAGGGGTTCGTGTTGCTCATTCTTTAGTTTTCTTTGTTGTGGTATGTGTGCTGTTGTAGTCTTTTCGTCGTTTTTCGTTTGTTTACCAAATTGTCAGTTCGTTTTCAATTGATGAGTAGGTTGTCAAATCTCCCATTTTAAAAATCATAAAACTTCCTGGTATTTTTCCTTATAAACGAAAAGTTTTCAAATTTCCAAATGGATCACAATTTTCATTTTCATACCACAACCTAAGAGAAACAACTCGCACACACACACAAACTGATCAACAAATCATGCTAATTCTTCATCTGTATTTTGTCTTGATGATGGCAAGATAAGGACGCACCTTATCTTACTATTTTGGTTTTAACTCGTAATACAATCGGACAGGTTTAGTTTGAAACGACTATATTTAGGGATGAAATGCTTGTAAATCACAAGCACATCTTATCTTCTTAAGATTTTCGTCAATAACGACAATCATATTGATTAATTTCTTCTTTGCTTCTGGTTTTTATCCATATTTTTGGTTCCCTACAAAACAATCGATAAACTTTGCAGGGTATTAACGTTTACCTTTAAGTTAGTACATTCAAACATATTGTCATCTGTCTTACTAACAGTAAAAGAGGGACATCTAAAGAACTAGGCTATGGTGTCAGTAGCAAGTGACGTGAATAGTATATGGGTTCGTTTAATATCAAAATATTAATTGGATAATTCTACATTTGAAGACTCTATTCTGTGCTGCACTTAACTTTTCATCTTTATACATTTGACACCTAACTCCAAAACGATTGAAATTTAAAAACCTGTGCCAAACTTAAGCCCAACAATATTTTTTTCTCTTCAAAAATGGATAGAGAGAAAATGTAAATGTCTTTATAAAAATATCATATCTCTTTTTGGGCAGATACACACCGATACAAAAAGAGCAATACATATCTTAGGCTCAACATATGTTCTTCAACTATGGACAAGTATCCTAAAAAAAGTTGGAAAAAATTTAAGAGAGGCTACTTAATATATATCACGAACACCAAATTCCAAGAATTACAAAGTACGATTACGATAAAACAAAAGACAACACTTAAAAGCGTTCCTACTAAGCACAAGCACATGTAAATTTCGAGGTGTTAAACTAGTTTTGTTTTAGGTATTGACATAATTTTTAATAACGATTGGTGAAATAACAAATGGTGCATAAAGGGACACAAGAACATCATTCAACTCTAAAATGTTACTATAAAAAAAAAATGCAGTGCAACCTTAAACAGAAAGTCCTTGTTAGCGCCCTCGTGTCTCCACAGACAAAAAAATAGTAAATAGTGAGATCATTACAAACGCTTCAATAGTAGTATTAAAGTCTTTCATAATAAACTCATCATACATACCAGGATTTGAAGGTTGTACACCAGACAAAAAAGACTCACCAATGACGCCAAATTTGTTCGTCTACAAAAGACTCATCAGTGACCCTAAATTTAAATTCTAATTTTAGGTTAAAAAATTCCGAAGCTGTATTGAGAACAGAAATGTTAGGCTTAGCAAACTTTTCCTCTTTTATTCAAAAATGATTCTGATCATATCAATAAAGTAGCTGTAGGATAAACTGTTATGGGGCAACAACCCAACTACACAACAAAAATCTTAAGAGACGTATATTTTCTACACAATTTTTTAAATCGCACAATATTACCATGTATCTACTTCAAACTAAAGAACATCTAACTTAAAAGGTCAGAATGCGATGTACCCAATACCAACAAAATCCTGTATGTTCCATTCATGTTTTGTAAGTATATTATAAAATAATACATTGATTTTTTATACAGCTCGCATATGCTGTATGAAATACTATTTATAGTTCTAACGTGCTTTATCAAAAGACAGTCTTTTTTACCTTATAAGTCTCCGTTATGTTCTTTTCAATTGCTTAACACTTAAGGTAGCACTCCACAGTTAGGTGTGTAGTTTCGCATTTTGGCCCCTGTGGATTTTTCAAATATGAGAGCTAGTGTGCAAAAAAAATTCATTTTTGGATAGCTGAAGATTAATATAGCCTTCATAGTGGGTTTATAGGAACATCTAGATTGTGTAATGCATGTATTATGGGCTGTTTTCTGTATGACAGTCCGTATTTTCATATCCATACAAGACATCGGTCCGGCAACTATTGAATTGTTTTTTTCTAACTTTTTGTCGCACGAACCTTGTGATTAAATTGCGACAAAATGAGGCGAAAGACACCCAATTTTTATTTGATCATTTGGTAGATTAATGTCAACAATTTCAGAAAAAGTATCACTCATAGGCATTGAAATTCTAGTTTAAACCAAATTTTGGGGGAATATGTGACATTTTCATGCCCCTTTTTGCAATATTTTATGATAAATAAATGCAGAATGTTGCCATGGATACACAAAAAAGGAATTATTTTTCACCATTTTAACTTTTGAAAATCTATGGAAGATACTGATTACATACATATGCACATGTAAGACACAAACAGTTTGCTTAATGTATTAGAAAGCCAGGAATAGAAGATGATTAAACATTTTGTGGTTCAATTTTAATTTTATTTTCTAACTGTGGAGTGCTACCTTATGGCACATCTGAAAGTACAGAAATGCACTTCTTAAGATAAATTTTACCACAAATCTATTGACTGTTAGATTCTTATTTTAGTTCTGAGGGAAAAAAATCTGATAGGAAGGCAATACATGTTAATTTTACTGTTTACTGTCCTTAGCAACCAAATATAAACATTTTGACACTAAGATATGGTTCGGTCTTAAATTTGTACTATATTAGCTTCTCCCTTGTAACCAAAGATTGCGCTTTATATGATAGCTTCAGAATATATCGCTTTATATTTTTGCATGCAAATAAGTGAAATAAACGTTTTTAGCAGGATTTGATGTTGTAATTTGGCATGAATTAATCGAAAGTTGCCACTACTGTTAGAAATTTATACCCTATTTGAGAGTTTCTAAACTAAGGTTTGGTATGCTATTTACATCAAAATTGACCTATAAGTGCTTTCGAATACCTAAATATTGCACAAATTTCCCTCTTTAGAGGAAATTTTATGATTTTAAACAGAAAAAGGGGAAAAGATTTAGAAATTTAACCAAAAAATGAGACAGATTTGAGATTTTACACTTTGATAAAGAATTTTTTTTATATCACTTTTTATTGCGTTTCAATGTCAATTGCTAACCTTAATAAAATCTTTATTACTGAACCAATTTTAAAAAATAAGGTACCATTTTATTCGTTACAGCTAGCAAAACCTAGAAAAATGTATTAAAAGTTGAAGCAAGGGGGAAAAAATTCATATTAAGGTAGCACTTCACAGTTAGGTGTGTAATATTGCATTTTGGCCCCTGTGGATTTTTCAAATATGAGAGCTAGTGTGCAATAGAATTAATGTTTGGATAGTTGAAGATTAATATAGCCTTCATAGTGGGTTTATAGGAACATTTTGATTGTGTAATGCATGTATTATGGGCTGTTTTCTGTATGACAGTCCGTATTTTCATATCCGTACAAGACATCGGTCCGGCAACTATTGAATTGTTTTTTTCTAACTTTTTGTCGCTCGAACTTTGTGATTAAATTTTACGACAAAATGAGGCGAACAACACCCAATTTTTATTTGATCATTTGGTAGATTAATGTCAACAGTTTCAGAAAAAGTATCACTCATAGGCATTGAAAT